ATAGACCATATTCTCAATCATAAAGCAAACCTAAAACTATTTAAAATCACATGCAAAAATCAGATAAAGTACTGTTTTCTGGCCATTGCAGAATTCAAACTAGAAAACAACAACAAAAAGTCAAAAGAATAATCTCTAGAAAAACGTGAAAAGCATCTTTCTCAAGGAAAAATTTTAAATATACTTAACTGAAGAAAAATAACAAAAACCTCTAGGAAAAAGCTAAGTGATTAGGAAAGATATAGCTTTAATTCATTATATTAAAGCTCTCAAATCAACAATCTAGAATTATACTTTGGGGGTGGAGCTCAGTAGGAGTGTGCTTGATTAACATGGTTAAGGCCTTGAGCTCCATCCCTAGCACATATGAGTGCGTACATACATACACGTACACACACGCACACACACATGCACCCCAGAAAACACAAAACTTATTCAGGCTGAAATAATTACATTGAATGGCTCTTGTAATTAGAAAAACTGAAATTGTAGTTTACAAAAACCTTTGAGAAAAAAATCCCCAGGTTTTAGTTTCACTGGCAAATTACATTAAGTATTTAGGAAGAAATAAAATGAATCTAAACACTGTCTTACAGGAAAACAAAGAGTGTATCACTTCACAATTAATTTTAAGAGATCAACATTAACCTGATATCAAAACAAGACAAAAAGATAATATAACAAAAATACAAATTATCAGGGTTAGAGAGATGTTTCAGCAGTTAAAAACACAAGCTGCTCTTGTATTAGACCCAGCTTCAGTTCCCAGCATCCAATGGCAGCTGACTGCCTGTTACTCCAGTTCCAGGGGGATCCAAAACCCTCTTCTGGCCTCTGTAGGCACAGCGTGCACAAGTATACATATATTCAGGCAAAACACTCAATACACATTTGAAAAAAGAAAAAAAAAACTCCCCAAGAAAACATTTTTAAATAAAGACTATCCCTCATGAACATGAAAATTAAAATATTAGCAAATCAAACCCTAGTTAAATGTGAAATGAAAAAATACTATTTCTATACGTAAATATATACATACATATGCAAAATAAAAACAACTTTTAAAAAGCATTGAAAAGTCAAATAGCCTTTACTAAATCAAAATTTTTCTTTTTAAATGCAAAAAAAAGGCCTCTATGTAACATAACTCTACATATTCTCCAGAATATCTAAATAAAAAGAATTCATTCTGGCCCAGTATGGTGGAACAAGCCTGCAATTCTAGCACTTGGGAAGCTGAAGAAGGGGAATCATGAGTTACAGACCAACATAAGCTACACAGCAAGACCCTGTCTCAGAAAACCAAAGTATTGGTTCTAGTCATTTTTGTAGCACCCAGTATCAGTGTACTAGAGCAGCAGCAGTTTCTTCTCCCAACACGTGGTCTCAGCAGAAGGCTTTAAGTGGGGAAACAAGTGAATCCCTTTCTTACGGATAAAGCCTTGAGCACAAGATTCAGCTAAAGAAAACAAGGAACAAGGATCCCTTCGATCATTTTCCAAGAAACCCAAGTACGTCTTCTACTCTACTCATGCAGTAATATGAAGATCTGATGCCTCAAACTGATGCAGCCTACCCTGGTAGGAAGCCAGCTGCCATCAGTACACAAAGGAAAGAGATAAGGAAAAAGTTTTACTGGAATCAGATCTATAGACCATGACCTCACTGAGCTGACTGGATTTCTACTTTAGTTTAAGTCATTTTGAAATGAATTTTTGTTATCTGGACATAGCATCCTGTGATCGCAAGGACTAAGGAGACAGAAGGCAAAGGAACACTGGTATCAGAAACCATATAAAAGAACTGTTTAAAAGTCAAAGTTAAGGGGCGAAACAGACACGTTTTATGTTACCTTTCCCCTGTAACCTGTAATATTGTGAGTAAAAGTTCAACATCTGAATGTTTTTTTTTTTTTAAAAAAAAAAAAACATAAAAAAAAAAAAAAAAAAAAACCCCTTTATACAATCCATGGGATAAAGCTGATTTCTTTGATAA